TAGGTAGAACGGATTTAAGTTTCCCTGCATTAAAGTCCCCGGCCACTAGGAGCGCTGCATCTGGATGAGCGTTTTCCTGTTGATTAATGGCCTTGTACAACTCATTCAGTGCAATCTTAATGCCAGCATTGGTTTGTGGTGGTAAATAGACAGCTATGAAAAATATAGATGAAAACTCTCTTGGTAAATAGTGTGGTCTACAGCTTATCATAAGATACTCTACCTCAGGCGAGCAAAACCTCGAGACTTCCTTAGTATTTGATTTTGTGCACCAGCTGTTGTTTACAAATATACACAGACCGCCACCCCTTGTCTTACCAGAGTCTGCCGTTCTGTCCTGTCGATGTAGCGTATAGCCTGCTAGCTGAATGTTATCATTGTTGTCGTTCAGCCACGACTCCGTGAAACATAAGATATTACAGTTTTTAATGTCCCGTTGGTAGGATAACCGTAATCTTAAATCGTCCATTTTATTCTCAAAAGCTTGAACGTTGGCTAATAGGATTGATGGGAGAGGCAGTTTACTCGCTCGCCTTCGGATCCTTACAAGGCACCCGGATCTGCGTCCGCGATATCTCCGTCTCTTCCTCACGCGAATGACGGGGATTTGGGCCTTGTCGGGTGTTTGTAGGATATCCTTCGCGGCCGCCTCGTTGAAGAAAAAATCTTCGTCCAATGCGAGGTGAGTAATCGCTGTCCTGATATCCAGAAGCTCTTTTTGGTTATAAGAGACGATGGCAGAAACATTATGTACAAAATAAATTACAAATAACGCGGAAAAACACACATAATAGTACAATTGGTTAGAGGGCTGTAAAACGGCAGCCATCTTCTCCGGCGCTGTTCTATCTGTCATGCCATACGGGTTAATGAATGCTCCTTCAGTCTTCCAATCCTTTGTGGACGAGATCTTCCGGGACACGCATGGGCAAGGTGTGGTAGTGTACATTGACAACATTCTAGTGTACTCTTCTACACGAGCCGAGCATGTAGCCCTGGTGCGCCGAGTGTTGGGTAGGCTGTTGGAGCACGACTTGTATGTCAAGGCAGAGAAATGTCTGTTTTTCCAGGAGTCTGTCTCCTTTTTGGGTTATCGGTTGTCCGCATCAGGGGTGAAGATGGAGGTTGACCGTGTGTCAGCCGTGCGTAATTGGCAAACCCCAACCACGGTTAAAGAGGTGCAGCAGTTTTTGGGTTTTGCCAATTACTACCGGAGGTTTATCCGGGGTTTTGGACAGGTGGCAGCTCCCATAACTTCCCTGCTGAAGGGGGGCCCGGTGCGTTTGCAGTGGTCAGCTGAGGCGGACAGGGCATTTGGTAAACTGAAGGACCTGTTCACTTCGGCTCCGGTGCTGGCGCATCCGGACCCCACTTTACCATTCCAGGTAGAGGTGGACGCGTCAGAGGCCGGTATTGGGGCCGTACTGTCGCAACGGTCCGGCACGCCACCTAAACTCTGCCCCTGTGCTTTTTATTCCAAGAAGCTCAGCCCAGCGGAGCGAAATTATGACGTAGGGGACAGGGAGCTGTTAGCCGTGGTTCAAGCCCTAAAGGTGTGGAGGCATTGGCTTGAGGGGGCTCAACACCCTTTTCTCATTTTGACTGACCACCGTAACCTGGAGTACATCCGGCAGCTAGGAGATTGTTTCTAACCCGGTTCATATTTAAAATAACGTACATCCCTGGGTCCCAGAACGGTAAGGTAGACGCCCTGTCCCGGCGGTATGACACAGAGGAGAGGTCCATTGAGCCCACTCCCATACTGCCGGAGTCTTGTCTGGTGGCACCGGTGGTGTGGGAGGTCGATGCGGAAATCGAGCGGGCGTCGCGTACTGACCCTAGTCCCCCAGAGTGTCCTGTGGGTCGGACGTACGTTCCGCTCGAAGTTCGTGATCGTCTGATTTATTGGGCTTATACGTCCCCCTCTTCTGGACATCCAGGTATTGGCCGGACAGTGCACTGCCTTAGCGCTAAGTACTGGTGGCCAACGTTAGCTAGGGATGTGAGGGTTTATGTCTCCTCCTGCTCGGTGTGCGCCCAGTGTAAGGCGCCTAGACACCTGCCCAGGGGGAAGTTACAACCCCTGCCCGTTCCACAACGGCCATGGTCTCACCTCTCGGTGGACTTCGTTACAGACCTTCCCCCCTCTCAGGGGAATCCTACTATACTGGTCGTTGTGGATCGGTTCTCTAAGGCCTGTCGTCTCCTCCCAATGCCGGGTCTCCCTACTGCCCTACAGACCGCTGAGGCACTGTTTACCCACGTCTTTCGGCACTACGGGGTGCCCGAGGATATTGTGTCTGATCGAGGTCCCCAGTTCACCTCCAGAGTCTGGAGGGCGTTCATGGAACGCTTGGGGGTCTCGGTGAGCCTTACCTCAGGGTACAACCCAGAGAGCAATGGGCAGGTAGAAAGAGTTAACCAGGATGTGGGTAGGTTTCTGAGATCTTATTGCCAGGGCCGGCCGGAGGAGTGGGCGAGGTATATCCCCTGGGCAGAGATGGCACAGAACTCTCTCCGCCACTCCTCCACCAACCTAACCCCTTTCCAGTGTGCGTTAGGGTATCAGCCGGTTCTGGCACCATGGCATCAGAGCCAGATCGAGGCTCCTGCGGTGGATGAGTGGGTGCGGCGCTCGGAGGAGACGTGGAACGCTGCACACGTCCATCTGCAGCGGGCCATCCGTCGACAAAAGGCGAGCGCCGATCTCCACCGCAGTGAGGGTCCGGTGTACGCACCTGGAGATCGAGTCTGGCTCTCGACTCGAAACCTGCCCCTCCGCCTGCCCTGCCGGAAGCTGGGTCGGCGGTTTGTGGGGCCATTTAAAGTCCTGAGGATATTGAATGAGGTGTGTTACAGGTTACAACTGCCTATTGATTATCACATTAACCCCTCGTTCCATGTGTCTCTTCTCAGGCCGGTGGTAGCTGGTCCACTCCAGGACTGTGAGATAAGAGAGACTCCTCCGCCCCCACTGGACATCGAGGGGACTCTGGCGTACACAGTTCGGTCCATCTTGGATTCGAGACGTCGGATGGGGGGTCTCCAATATCTCGTGGAGTGGGAGGGGTATGGCCCGGAGGAACGGTGCTGGGTGCCTAGGAGGGACATCTTAGATCCATCCCTCCTGACTGAGTTCCACCGTGGTCATCCCACGCGCCCTGCTCCGCGTCCTCCTGGTCGTCCCCGAGGCCGGGGTCGGCGCACGGCTGGAGCCGCGCGTCAAGGGGGGGGTACTGTCACGAATTCTGCCGAGGCTGCTCCTCCTCCTTGCTCGGGCAGGCTTCGGCGTTCGTCGTCCCCGGAGTACTAGCTGCCACCGTTGAATGTTATCGATGTTTGTTTGGTTTTGTCTTCTTTGTACACCTGTTTCCATTTAGTGTTCATTATGTCTCCTATAAGTTTCTCGTTTTGTTTGTAGTTATTTGTGTGTAATTGTACGCCTGTCCGTTGGGGTTGTTTGTTTTTGCATTCTCTTTATCAAGAGTATTGACGCACTGTTTGCGCATCTCTTATATTTAGTGTTTTACGCACTGTCTGCGTATCACGCGCCTCCGTCGTTCGAGGCCCTTTATTTTGTATTGTCCTTTTCCCTGACTAGTAAAGTCTGTTTGGACTAAGCTTCTGTGTCCTGCGCCTGACTCCACCACCACTTAGACATCAGCACCTCTGACAGAAATTGAGCTCAGGTGCATCCTGTTTCCATTGATCATCCTTGAGATGTTTTTACAACTTGATTGGAGTCCACCTGTGGTAAATTCAATTGATTGGACATGATTTGGAAAGACACACACCTGTCTATATAAGTTCCCACAGTTGACAGTGCATGTCAGAGCAAAAACCAAGCTATGAGGTCGAAGGTATTGTCCGTAGAGCTCCGAGACAGGATTTTGTCGAGGCACAGATCTGGGGAAGGGTACCAAAACATGTCTGCAGCATTGAAGGTCCCCAAGAACACAGTGGCCTTCATCATTCTTAAATGGAAGAAGTTTAGAACCACCAAGACTCTTCCTAGAGCTGGCCGCCCCGCCAAACTGAGCAATCGGGAGAAAAGGGCCTTGGTCAGGGAGGTGACCAAGAACCCGATGGTCACTCTGACAGAGCTCTAGAGATCCTCTGTGGAGATGGGAGAACCTTCCAGAAGGACAACCATCTCTGCAGCACTCCACAAATCAGGCCTTTATGGTAGAGTGGCCAGACGGAAGCCAAAAGGCACCTAAAGACTCTCAGACCATGACAAACAAGATTCTCTGGTCTGATGAAACCAAGTTTGAGCTCTTTGGCCTGAATGCCAAGCATCACGTCTGGAGGAAATCTGGCACCATCCCTACGGTGAAGCATGGTGGTGGCAGCATCATGCTGTGTGGATGTTTCTCAGTGGCAGGGACTGGGAGACTAGTCAGAAATGGAGAAACTCCCCAAATACAGGTGTGCCAAGCTTGTAGCATTATACCCAAGAAGACTTGAGGCTTTAATCGGTGCCAAAGTTGCTTCAACAAAGTACTGAATAAAGGGTCTGAATACTTATGTACATGTGATATTTAAGTTTTTTATTTTTAATAAATTAGCAAACATTTCTTAAAACCTGTTTTTGCTTTGTCATTATGGGGTATTGTGTGTAGATTGATGAGGAAAAATAACAATTTAATCAATTTTAGAATAAGGCTGTGACCTAACAAAATGTGGAAAAAGTCAAGAGGTCTGAATACTTTCCGAAGTCACTGTATATGTATGTATGTATATTCAGATATACAGAGGATTGGAAGGCCCTCTCAAAGCCACACTACCATAGACAACTGAACTCTGTCTGTACAAAAAGACCACTTAGTTAAATCAAAGAGGGATACAATTATACATTATATCAGTCATAAAATGCTTTGGACAAATTGGACACTATGCAGACAGACCTAACAATGACACACCACAATTATAACCTGCCCAGATAAAGTAGGCAAAAATGATAAGCCAGATATAGTAGAATACAATGAAACCCTACCCAGATACAGTAGGCTGTCCAGCTGTTCTCGGGTGAAGGTGACGTCTCGGTTGTGGTCTGCTTCTAGTCCTGAGACCTTCAGGACACAATGGATCTCCTCACGCACTACTGCAAGGGCCTCTGGGTGTGTCACCAGGTAATACATGGCCCAGAAGGTGGCTGGGACTGTGTTTCCCACCGACGCCCATAGAATGGCAAAATGATGAGCTGGGGCAGGTACAGAGAAGAGAGTCTTATAGTTAGGTTTGGAATGTTCTGGTTGAAGTCAAAGTAGCACATGTTATGTTGTAGGTGTATACAGAGATGCAGCTACATGGTAATACAATGTTGTTCCTACAGTTATTACTGTGTAGGTATAAGGGTATATGGTAAAGTTAAGAGTAATGCCGGGCATACACTACACGATTTCGCCACAATCTTGCCGTCCCAGACAAATTATCATGATCGGGGTGAAATCCTATGAACTTGGGCTAGGATCAGTACATCGGCAATAATTTCCTTTATTTTTGGGAATCAGACGTGTTTAATAGGCTAAATTACACATTCTGTTAACATATGACCCCAAAGTGATCTATCTTGCAATGATAATTTTTCACGAAGAAGTTTGGATGTAGTGAACTACTTTTTCAAAGTAATTTCAGTTAAGTTAAATATATGTTTCTTAAGGGTAGCTTTAGTGTAGTTTAAACATTTACACAAAAAAACAACAGCGAAACATACAAAATAATGTATCTTTCATCTCTCTGTGTTTTATAAATGTACTTCAATTCCCAAGAGGCTGAATGTATCTCACCGGAATAAGCATCAAAACAGCGCCCCTCTGTCTCAGTCTGCGTAGCCCATCTATCTGATGCTTTCTGGTCAAAAAGAGTATGACATTGTTGCCGCCCGTAGCATTGAATGCAAGGGAAGCCAACAAGCATTTGGCCTCCCTTGATAAAAAAAGAAAAAAATTATAGCCAATCAGCGTTGAGGTAAACTGAGTGAGTGCACCAAAAAAAAGTGTCAAGGGAAGCCAGTTTGGATTTCGCTTCACACCAATCACATCACATCAAAAGCTAAATATAATTGACAGAAAAAACTTGAATTGTACCATGGACAGCCACATCATATTAAGCTTACGTTAATTGGACTAAATCGTTTTTGCTATTTTTTAGTTGTCACTGTATTAGACTAAGCCTAGGTGATTAGATGATGTTGAAATGTTACAGTTGAAATGGTTCTGGAATAGTGGAGTGAGTGCCTGTTTACTTTGCGACTTGCGGTAACTCTCCCAGGTTCTAAATCAATAGATGTTTAGTAGTCTGAAAATGTCGGAAACATTAACTTGCTTGACCATGCTGTAGGTCATGTAACTGTTTGTTACATGCAATATGTGTTGTGGACTTTACCGGACAGATGTTGCTCTCTTGTTTTGTGATGAAACAAAGGTGTGGTTGAATTTATTCTGCCACTGTGTCTTCTTATTGTCTCGGCCTTAGGCCTATATATCACGGTAGCAAGGCATATTACCGAGATGGATTTACATATTCAAATGTAGGAAGTATGGTAAAGTACATCACAGAAACGTATAAATAGGCCCAGGTGCTACAGTATATCAGCTGTGTGTACCTGCTTTATCTACGTCTCCCATGCAGTCATACTGTTCAAACAGTGCTGCTCTTTCCTTTATGAACCCAGACGTGTTGGACCATGTAGACATCCTCTGAGGGTGGAAGTAGTTGATGAGTTTATCCCGGATGGTTTTGGTTCCTCCCAGCAGAGAGATGGGAATCCTGGCGATGAGGAGGGGGAACATAGTGTCGAACTTGACAAAGTCCTGTCGGAGTGTCACAATTCCGCTGTGTCTGTTGGTGTGGGCAGGCTTGCCATACATGGTCAGGAAAGTAGCCTCAAACATGACAGAATTGCAGAACTGGTACATACTTTCAGTCCTCCACTCGCTCTCCCCATCCAGGTAGTCTTGTTCGAACACAAGCATGAGATTTCCCATCATGCTCTCTGTCAGGTTATCGAGGTTGTCGCCCTGCAGAAGGCGGAAGGACCTCTGGATGTGCTCGTCCATGCCGGGGAACTTGCCGCTCCTGACAGGGGGGTAGCCGAACGTCAAGGGGGCCACTTGGTCAGAAAACTCATGGAAGTCCAGCTGTTTGCCATGTTTGATGATGTATGGATACAGCAACGGGTTCATTATAAATGTCATGTATTTACCTGAGGGGAAATACGAGGACAGGATTGTATTTCAATAGACATGAAACACGTGTACTGTGTAATGTATTGTCTAATCAGATTGTCTGATGTGTGTTCGTAACTTTACTGTTTTAAAAGAGCATTATGCCATAAGTAATAAGCATAGTAATAAGCACAATACATATATTTTATCAACCATTTCAGTAATATTCATTTGCTTCTTTTTAGAACTACATTATTATGAAATGTATACATAAAACATTAGTATCACCCACCAGCAATCAGCACAGTAAATACATCTCCATGTTTCTCCTTATGTGCTGCAAGAAATCCATGTGCATTCTTTCGAAACTCCAAAGCCTTCCCAAGGAATGGAATCCAACCATTTACAAGTGGAGGCTCCCCATCTCTCCTATAAAAGAGAAAAACATAAGAAAATTGTATTTTACATGAAGTAATATTGGATATGTCATACCATCAACAAATATATGCATCTAAAATCTTTCAGGCGAAATAAGAGATAAAGCATTGATCTATCTGATTCAGATACAATATAAATGTGATCTTATGGAAATAGGAACTGGTAACAGAGACAAGGCGTAGGCATGTGATCGAGCATCTATCAAACCTTCAAGCTGGACTGGTATCAGCTATCCCCAACACCTATTCTCTTTTAACACATATACAGTGTAACAAACAAATACAGCAGCTGCTGGGTGGCAAGGTTTAAAGGAAGAATTTAAAGACCGAGAATTGAGCACACAGACATGACACAGAGCATCTCAGACAAAATTAAATGACAGCGCACAAATCACTCCAGGGCCTTACAAATTGTATCCAACTCAAACAGCTATATCTTAAGTAGGGTTGCAAAATGAACCTGGCTGAAGGATTCCGGATTTCCTGCTTATTCCCTCCTGATTCCAGGGAACCTCAAACTGGGATTTCGTTTTTTTCTATTTTTTTTTTAGTTCCCGGAATTTTGCAACCCTAATCTGAAGTGAATACAGATGGAAGACAATTACAAAGAAGGCAACATGGGAGTCCTGCATAGCAATATAATAGTTTAGCGATTACAGGAAGAGTAGGCTGGTTATTTTCCCAGGGAAATTTAACACTGTACATCTAACACTGCTCTGTTCTCTCACTGTCTATCCTACAGTTCAAATTAAATATTACCTTCTTATCCATGTATGTGAGTGTGTGTGTGTGTGTGTGTGTGTGTGTGTGTGTGTGTGTGTGTGTGTGTGTGTGTGTGTGTGTGTGTGTGTGTGTGTGTGTGTGTGTGTGTGTGTGTGTGTGTGTGTGCATGCGCGTGTGTGTGTGCAGTAAAAATAATCCATGCATTAACATTGGTTAAAGAAAGGCAGGGGCACTTTTGATCCTGTCAACAGGATTCAACACACATACACACTGGGCCTTCAACACACATTACATCTACACACACACTGGGCCCTTAAAACACACACACACACACACACACACACACACACACACTGGTCCTTCAGAACACATCAAATCAAATAAAAGTTTATTGGTCACGTACTCAGTTAGCAGGTGTTATAGCAGTGCAGTGAAATGCTTATGTTACTAGCTCCTAACAATGCAGTCAAATGTCAAACAATTAACATGTAAAGAAAAATACACACAAAAAAAGGCATGAAATCAAGAACGGCAGGCGAATCCAATTAACAACCCCAATAGCACTGTTGCAGTATCAAAATGCAATCTATACATATGTACACTGGGGAATTTACACAAGATGAACTAAGAATGACATGTACAGTAGTACATATATTAGATTGAGATATGTCAAGAATCCAGTATATAAATAAATATGCGGTGTGAATAAACAGTGTAACTAAAATACAACGTACAGTAGTGGAAATATTACAATAAGCTATGTCAGGGATAGAGTATTTAAATACACAGTGTGAAATGGGAAGTGACCAGTGGTTCAATGCCTCTACAACATGGGACAGCAGCGTTGGCTGTGAGTGTGTGTTAGTGTGTATGTGCGTTACATTACATTACAGACACACACTGGACAGACCCTTATATTATATTAACTCCACTCAAACGCTAAGCATAGAACATCCTCTCTCCTTTATCGTGGATGATCTTGCGGGAGTGGACAGAAAACTGTAATACAAACTGAGAAGATTCAGAAAGCTACTATCAAATATTTGTTCAATGATTTTTGAAGCTTAAGGATATGGTTACCAATCAGGGTTTATTTGACCAGTTAGAGGTTGAGCTGGCAAGACATTTGCTTATATAGGCTATAGCCACAGGGTGTGTCCACTAGACTATTAGCATACATGAGTTAGGGGCACAATGTTACCCGTCATCTTCTCCCTTATTTGCCCTATAGACACACAATGTCAGTGGGTCATTATACTGATATAACAGAGGCAGCATTGTAAGGTGCAGTATACTACAAAGTATTGTGTCATTGAAAACAAATACATAGGCTAACTGTTACAATAGATTTCAATATCATTCCTGTCCTGTACCTGTTTTTGGAAACACAAAACACATAATGTCTTATGCAGGAAGATACTGTATCTAGAGCTGACGTGGTGCAGCACGGAGTACAGTCTCCCGTGTCACAAAATAATGCATGACAATCAACAAAACAGTACTAATCTGGGCAATGTCAGTGCTAAACTAACTCATGTGTGTGCTTATCCATCCAAGGGATAAGATTCCATTTCTCCTGCTAGGGTGTGGAGAGAGCTGGTCATGAGAGACTATCTGCTATTTGTGAGGCCTCAAGCTGACAAGTCAGACCAGGCTTGCTTGTTGTTGTGCTTGTGCCCCCACCTAGTCCACACTGCTGCCTGCTTGCTTGTCTGCCTGCCTGCCAGCCACTTGTCAGAAGCAATCAGGGAGTATGATAGTGTCTGCCAGCAGTGAGCACATTTGGATAGGTCAGCATCAGAATAAGGGCCCCATGCGTCAGTAACAATATAACAACAGATGTCCACACTGCAGCAATGAGTGTTTATCAATTAGACCGGTCATTTGTTATATTTCACATTAAACAAAAATGGATGATATGTAGAATTTGGAATCCCATTTACCTTTACTGTTGAGGCCCTATTTGCTAGGAAGTTGCAACCCATCATTAAGTTCTGTTGCAATTAGCTTGCAGGGGCAAGCTTATGCAATCCATAACATGTTCCTCTTACTCAAGATCATCAACAGCAAGGTACTTCCCTTTTAAATAGATAAAAAGAGCATGGTGGGGAACACTGGGGATGATGACTATACTCAGCAGACCTGGGTTCAAATACTATTTGAAATAATTTGAAATACTTTATCTGCACTTGATTGAGCTTGTCTGGCACAATTTAACCAATAGATTAGTCCCAAAACTGTAAACCCCACCATCTGGCCCTCCAGGCTGTCTAGACACTCGAGCAAACGCTCAAATATTTCAAATAGTATTTGAACCCACCAGGTCTGATCCTCAGTGAGATGCCCATTGCAAACAATGCTGATGGAAATGCCTTTAGAGCCTGTGTTTGTGGCTGACCTACTTCTCACAGAGAACACAGTAGGTTTGCAGTCCTAAATGGCACCCTATTCCCTTTATAGTGCAATAATTTTGACAGGGCTCTGGTCAAAAGTAGTGCACTATTAGGGCTAGGTTGTCATTTGGGATGAAACCAGGGTTTGCAGTCCCATGAATTCGCAGCAACAGCAGCAAATGGAACTTAACAAGACATTCAATAACTGCAACCTACTATCTTATCAAGGGGAAATAATAAAGATATTTAAGATTATGAAAACTATGTTCAAAGAGAAAACAACACTGAAGAAAAGGTAAAGTACTGTTTGTTTGGATATAGCTACACTCAGTGGCATACATAGGCTACACAGTCATAGTATTTTTAACAATGTAAATCTTCAGTCTAATTGGGAAAACATCTCTCACCTATCTGGCCATTGGCCAATGCAGATTTTATAATTCCTAAAATAATGCATTTCATTTCAGCAAATGTGTACACCGTCACATTTATGGTTGCTACATTGTTACAACATTGTTACAACTTTTCACACGAAGTTGCAGGCTATAACTTGTTGGCTATAGTTACACTAGTTATTTTTTAAAAAGTCATGTAACAATGTAGCAACAACAAGACGCTCACTCAAGAAACATAACCATCTAGGATAAACTGTCTGAAAGACAGTCTATCTATTTAATTGATTTAGGCAATCTTCTTCATGTTCTTACACAACAGTGTGATAACCTTCTCCTGCATGAAAGCTATACAAATAACATGTGTTTTTAAGGACCTTGAACTACTATCAGCTTAAAGTGTTTAGGCAAAATTTATATTCCTAAACATCAACGCGAACACCAACAGAGTTATCACACAAACTCTTAAAATGAACTCGGAATTCATCCACCACTTGCCTTGTTCTCCTGAACCGCACGCTGAGTAAGTAGAGCACCAAAAAGCCAAACAACAAAGGTAAAACAAACTCTAACATTTCCTTGGGAGATGATAAGACGTTCCACAATAGGGAAAACTTCGGGAAGTTGTAAATCAATAGTTGTAATCGATAGTCGAAGTCAACCGCTCTCCTTCATATTGCCACTGTTCGAGTTTGGTCACGTGGGCGCGCTGTTTCTGACCTGACCACTTTCTAACCAGACGTGTGTTATGCTGGGCAATGTGGCTTTTATTACAGGAAGTACATTAGTTAAAAGAGTTGAGGAATGAAGCAATGCTGTTGAGCAACAGTGTGAGAGAAAAAAATCAAACGTGACATACAAACCACAGCTCAAGACATGTTCCAGATGGTTTGTTATTTTGCCGTCTCTAATTGGTAGCATACATTGCATGCACTCACACCCTTCTATCTTGTTGCTGCATATGCTCAAACAATGTCTTAAAAACTGAGGCTTAGCCTACCTGCCTTGGCTACTAATGAATGTAAACAAAGAAAAAAAAGAGTCATCATGGAAATGTCAACATCAATGCACAGTTGCTGAAAGGCTTGCCTTCTGATGAAAATGCCCCTTCCATTTGACTCATATGTATCTTCGATTTATATAGGCTTTAATCTTGGTTAACCCAGAACTAAAATATTGCCTAGTTTGGTCAGATCTGTCCACAAGAGATTATACAGGCTTCGACCCTTCAACAAATACCATTGATTCACAAACTGTGCAGTATCACATCATTGATATCTAAGCAGGTTGTGTTGTGCTGTATGTAAAATTGTAATATCCATTTCTCGATGAAGAAATAATTACAGAGAATACAGAAGTGATGTCAACATCATACAGTTCAATGTATGATTAATAAATGTTGTGGTTAATACAAATAGAGAAGTGTTTGTTGGAAAGGATGAGTGTATTGATGAATAGTGGAAGTCATAGTGGAATTCATAGG